CCATTAACCCCTTTTTATGCATTGCTAAGCTAAGTTAACAGCAGTCAAAGTTTCTAGCTTGTGCAGATTCTGACAAGGAGAGCCTTGCTAGTTTATGTTAGCAAAAAAATCAGGAGGTCTCTGGTAGAACCTTTTCCTTTCCAATTAACACATTTTATTAAAAACATAAGCTTTTTACAGCATCTGATGAAGTGCATCTGATGAAGTAAACTGCAGCTCACAAAAGCTTATGCCTTTTAGTTAAATTTGCTAGTCAGATAGAGTGCTACCAGATTCCTTCTGGTTTTTAATGCATGGTAAGATATTCTGCAAATGCTGAGTCAACGAAGTGGTTAATATCTTAGTATCTAGATATTAAAGTTATGGCATTGGTTCTTCCAACTTATAATGAGCAGGCTTTTCCAGTAGAACCTCTCATCCAATATGTTTATCTGGAAATAATCTATATATTCCTTACTGTTCTCATCTTTACTGTCCTTAAAAAAGCATCTGTAAGAGAAGAATCAAATAGAACAATGGACCTAGTTCTCAGAAATCTTAGAGATCTACCTGCCACATAACGTAGGTAGCAAATACTACGATGGAATCTTGCTTTGATCCTCTTTGTTCCTTGTTTCAGAAATCTTGCTAGCATTGAAGACTTTGGACTCTTAACTATGTCCCGGTGAATTAATGGAACATGTTTCTGAGTTGATTTGGATGTAGTGAGGGACATGCACGTTTCCAAAATGAAACACTAGACTGTTCCTGAAATTCATTTTTACCATTAAAAGCTGCTACAGATGCTAAGCAGCAGCTGAGTTCGCCCAAGATTTCTTGTAGTTAAGACCATTGAAGGGCAAAATATGTTCCTAAATAGGCCCACATTGAGTACCATAGGACTCCAAAAATTAAATGAAATATTTTGTTAGTAAGATACAGCAAAAGTTTATTCCGCATCAGTGAAAACTTTTTAATTTCTACACTGTTTGTGTTTTTTAGAGAAGGGCTATCTGGCGTAAGACACTACCATATAAAAGAAACAATGACAGCACAAAAGCAATATTATTTGGCAGAAAAACATCTGTTTGACTCCATTCCAGAGTTAATCGACTATCATAAACACAATGCTGCAGGTAAATGAGCTTGAGTTTTCTATCCTTTAATTTGTATTTAACTCCAAAACATTAAATTTCAGGAGACCTTTATTTGGGTCTTTTGGAAAAGTTTAATGGTTTTAATGTGATACAAGAAAATAAACTGTTCAAATAAATCCTTACTCCTACCTCTGTCACTTAGAAGTTCCAAATCTTTATAGAAAACTATTTAATGCATCCTACATTTTGCATGTTTTTAAACAATAGAATAATTCTAATTTTTAAGAAGCTGATACTATAAATTCTTATACTGAAACTTTCCTGAAAACTATCAAGAAAATGCTTGGTGTGCTTAAAGTTATTTTGAATTATATACAAATGATGCTGTAAGAAAATAAAATATAGTAATTAGCATTTAAACACCAGAAAGCATTGTTCACCTTTCTTAATTTCTAATGTAACTTATTCACCATGTGAATTTTCTGTGAATTTTAGGCCTTGTGACGAGGCTACGATACCCAGTGTCTCCAAAAGTGAAACCCTCACCAACTACTGCTGGATTCAGCTATGGTACATTTTTGTTTCTGTATGAAAATATATGACTGATTTTATAGATTAACAAAGAACTAAAATGTATTTATTTCTCTCCTTTCTATTGGGTTAATTGATATCCATATTGCAGAAAGTCTTCTCAGTTCTGTAAGCCTATACTTTGCAAACAGTACAAACCATATTAGTTATGCAATTAGCTAGTATATCCTCTTTCCCTCCCCTCCCCTCCTGAATAAAAGAGCTGACATGACTCAATCTGGCATCTTCCTGATACTTTGGAGCAGTGAAGCCGAGTTGGGGGGACTTTTGTCAATCTGATGAAAGCAGCAACCTCCTGTGGACCCCTATGCTTTGAGGGCATACATTCCGGAATGCCGTGGTGGCTGGGAGTTCTTGTCTTTGGAATCTGAACATGCTCGGGGGGCACTAAATTAAGCAAGTTGGCATTAACACATGTCCCAAGCCCGTGGTTGCTATTTTCCTGGGGGGAAAAGTAGTCCTTAGCATTAATGGTCATTTTTCTTCTGGAGTAAATAACTCCAGGGGTGTAGACATAACATTCTATCGTGACCTTCCATACCTCTGTGATCCAAATTACAAATTTGTACAGATGTTCTTTATGAAAGAAAAGGCAGATGCTCATCAGATGATGCAGTTATTAAAAGCATAGACACAGATAGGGAGCCCAAAAGATCTCATAAGCTTTTTCCTGGTCCTGTCTTGGTATCTGAATATATGTGTATATTTGCACTGAAAAATAAAATTGAATGCAGGGACAAGCAACGTTCATCATAACCATAGCCGCTGTGTTTAAATTACCCAGCCTGTTTAAATTAGAAGGGGCGGATTTCTGAGACAAAGCTTCCTAGTGTATGAGAAACAGCAAAAGAGAGCTGTCAGAATTCAGTAACGTTCTGCAGACAAAATATGGATTCATATCTATTTTGGGTGAGAAGAATGAGAGAGTGTTGCTTTAGGATGGCCAATTGGATTGCAAACCTATATTCTAAGATTGCTTGTGTAAGATTTGCCTGTATTAGAAATTAGTTTTTAGACATTTTTGAAAAATAAAAAGCAACAGGTGCCTGGGAATGCACTGCCCCTGGTCTGTCCCATAAGATGCTCTGTCCAGTCATCCATTAACCACCTTACTAATTGTTCTGTCTGCACGCAGTCATACTAACTGGGTAAAAATCCATTGTCCCTACCCACTTTCCCCCAGAAATTATCTTTCCTTCTTACATAGGAAAGCGTTGGCAGGGTCTCACAATATTATTAGTCCCCAGTGCCAGGAAGCCACCAAAGCAGTGTGCTTTGGTCCCTGCAGACAATCAGTTGTTGAGAAGCATGTTGAGTGCTGCCAAGTCTTGAGAGAATTTGATGATGGAGAAGTTTGCTTTTTCAGTCAGTCATTGTTTCTCTCTGGTCCTTTTTCTTGGAGGACTAGGCAGGCAAGATGAGCCAACTGACTGGGTCCAAGTCCCTTCCAACAGTATGCTCGAGTCATTTCCGCTGAGTGACAAAAGAGGTATTTCTTGGAAAGAGGCCCAGAGGCAGCATTTTGTAAGGCAACCTTGAGAATAAACACTGGGAATCTTCATGATTACTCTGGTTTGAATCTTCAGAAGTTCTCTGGCTTAAAAAAAGGATGAAATAATGACAACAAGACCCTTGTGGAAAAAAATACTGACCATAAGAATTGTCTTCCAGCTTCTCTTGGGGGTTTATCCTCAAGTTATCTGTCCTTTGGTTTTATCTTCCTTTTTTTTTTGTAGAGAAGTGGGAAATCAATCCTGCAGAGCTCACCTTCATGCGAGAACTGGGCAGTGGTCTCTTTGGAGTAGTGCGACTCGGCAAGTGGAGAGCCCAGTACAAAGTAGCCATCAAAGCCATCCGAGAAGGTGCCATGTATGAAGAGGACTTCATAGAAGAAGCTAAAGTGATGATGTAAGCAACTGGCAAAGGTGCCGGTTATTATTTTCAAAGCATTAAAGAGTCTGGCTGCAAAGCTTCTTAAGAAATGTCTTCTCCTGAAGATCTTGAGATACTCTGCTCTGTCTCCCTTGGTTTTGAAAACTTTAGATCAGCTGTCTGAGTCAGAAAATCAAAAGCTTATAATACTTCTCTCCTTTCCTTATTTTGTTGGCTGGTGCACTGTAAAAAAAATCTGTTTTGGAGGTAACAAACTTGTTAAGTTCATATTTTGCAGAAACCAAAGCTGTATATTGGTCAGGAGAAGGATGAGCTTAATGATACTAAAATTATTAGCAACATATTGCTAAAGAAATACTTAACGGTATCCCATACTAAAGACAATGATGTAATCAAATCCCTATTAATACAAAAACCCACTGCCATTTTTTTGTTCCAGCTGCTTAATGTCTTCCAGCAAAGATGCATTCGTGAACCAGTTGATTGCCATGTTTAATGCCTAACATATAAAACAGTGA